TCTCTCTCTCTCTCTCTCTCTCTCTCTCTCTCTCTCTCTCTCTTTCTTTCTTTCTTTCTCCCAACGTGTGACTGTAAGGTATCCGATATCGACTGACGGATGTGTGCCTCAAAGACTAGTATAATCCGATCTGTTTTGGACCAATTGAACAAAATAAAGTAATTCTCCAGGTTGTAATCGGGCGAAATATTGATTATTACCAGCGTCGAATACAAGATGGTTAATAAATGTGACAAAATTTCAACTCTACCGAAACATACCTACATGTTTTTGAGAATGCTTTGTTTGGCCTGTGCTGTGTTTTTAGACTTGTATGGTGAAGTGTCACATAAAAGTAGGTTGGGGGGAGGAGTATTTACAGACATTAAATGCACGTTCAAAGGGTGCTTCAAAGGGCTGCGTTAAAGAAACAGGCAAACTACAGAAACAAAAACTAAACAAAAATGAAGCGCACACTTGCACACCCGCGCTCGCACAAGGGGAGAGAAACGGATAGACAGACAGGCAGAGACAAAGAGAGACATAAAGACAAAAGAGTGAGAAAGAGAAGAAGAGGGAGAGAGAGGGTGGAGAGAGAGAGACAGACAGAGACAGAGAGAGAAGAGCAGTTGGGCACCCAATCTCTTTTTAATCAACACACATATTTTCAAAGAAAAAATAAATCTGGATGCCAAAGAAGTTGTTATGGTGCAAATTATTCTGCAGTAAGTTGACAAGCGATGACTTGTGGAATTAAAAGTTACCACGAACGTTTTTGCTCTGCAAAGTTATGTTAGGCGTCGCGCTATAATAATACAGTACGGTATTATGTTGTGTGATGATCATTATTCTATTGCCCTGCCACTGTTTAGCAGAAACTGCAGGGTAAATTGGTTTGTTTGCTATGATCGGTCGTTGCGCAGAAAGATGTCTGTGTGGCACGCTGTGTGTAAACTGTTCTGATAATTGTTGCCGTAGAGTAGTTTGTGTACTGATAGTTGTGAAAATGGTCCTTCTGAAAGTTTCCTACCGACAAATTATAGAAAATCGTTACTTGTACAGTTTTTGTACTGAAAGTTGTTGTGTGGTAGTTTTCCTACTGAAAATTATTGTGAAATTTGTTGCTCTGAAAGTTTTGGGACCAAAATTGTTTTAGGTGAAAATTCTTTTGACCCAATCTGCAAGGGAACAGGTCCACAATCCCTCAATCTTTCGTTTCGTCTTGTTTTTACAAAGTTCTGAAGTTGTACTCTTTACCGTGGAAATACACCAAAAATATAAAAGCCCCAACACAAATCACACATAATTTGTTTTTTTTAAAAAATAGAACTAGAAAACACCGATGTAGGATTTTGTTTATTGTGACGAACATCGTCTCTGTAAAATGAGGTACTAGATCTACATCCAAAATTTCACGTCAGACGGAAGGCAAAAAGGAGCATTTTTTGAGAAAAGAAAAAAAATCGTTCAGTGACAAGCTATTTCTTTTCTTTTTTTTTTTTCTTTTTTTTGGGGTAAATTTAAAAACAAATACATCACAACTGAATCTACTTCCTTTCGAGTGAAAGTCTGAAAAAATATATCGTTTGTCTATGACATGCAATTACATATTACATATTACATGTACAAACGAAGCGTCCTGTCCTAGGGAGTGTTCAAACAAAAAATACTTTTTTATCCTCAAGTTTTGTTTAAACGTTTTATAGCGTTCGCAACTGTATAACGTACACTTTAGTCTCTAACTTGTTAAAAAAAAGTTTTACAACGCTCGCCAAAGCATAACGCACTTACTTCTTCTCTAACTTATTTTTTAAAATTTTACAGAGCTCGCAACTGCATAACGCACATTTTCTCTCTAGTTTTGTTAAAACGTTTTACAGCGCTCACAAAATGCATAAGGCTCACTTTCTCTTCAAAACGGACATGTCTATCTTGCCCAGGTCTTGCGCCTCACAAGTTCTTCTTCATGTGCTCTAGCTGGGGGTAGAGCCTTTTCTTCAAGTTCTGCAGGTCCGAGTACAGGTTCCTGTTAAGGATCTGGGAGGAGCAGATCAGGCCATTCATCAAACCGCCCATGAAGCCGGCGGTCAAGCCGTCTTGGCCTGTCAGAGGAGGGGAAGATGGAAATATTATTACAAGAATAAAACATTTCTATATTTTTCTCTCTTCGGAAAAAAATGCATACTGAGCTCAGTACACTTGAATAATTGACTTACTTACTTTACTTTATATCCGTCCTCTTGTACATCTTGGGCTTACTTACCTACTTACGTTATCCTTCCTCTTGTACCTCTAGGGCATTCAGAGGGTGGGGGAGCTTGATGGAAGCTGGATGGCCTGCCTGGGTGAGATGTTGTGTGTATCCTTCACACCCTCGATGCAAGTCTTTCTTGGTCTTCCTCTTGCCATGTAACCTGATATTCTTTTTAGTACGCTTTACTGGCAAGCTAATGGGGCGCCATACGTATCAGATGTCCTAACCAACTTGTTGTTTGCCTCTGAGTGTAATGGAGGACATGTGTCGTGACCATCATTTCTCTGATCCTGTTGCTTCTGATCATGTCCCGTCTGGTTTTGTCGACAACTCTCCTGAGACATCTCATCTCGGACATTTGAAGAGCTGGCCGACGAAATGGAGGCTGAGCAATTTCACACAAACCTGTTGAGCTGGTATCACGCTGAGCTACAGAGCGGAGGGCCCTGGTTCGGTGTGTCATGTTACTGTCTGCCATAAGCTAACAAAACGCCTTTTTTTATTTTGGCGCCAAAAATTTTCATTTACTAAATCGAAAGCCTGATCAGTTACCCTACTCGTTGGGAAAAATCAAAGTGAAACTGTAACTACTTTATGTATAGATTAGAACTCAAATTTCGGAAGAACACTATTCTTAAGGGTTATGCTGATAAAAAAAACCCATCTTTTTCTCGAAACTGCTGTGATTTTTTTAAAGGGGCGCTTTGCCCGCTTACGGCAGCTGTGCTAGTCGTAGTAGTACATGTACATGTAATAGTAAAGGGTAAACATTTCAACAAATCCACCACCAACTAAACATAATATCAAATGCCAGCAGTTGGGATTAGGGCTGTGTCTGACTCCTCGGGATAGCTTGATGGGATCTAGCGTAGACGCCAAAGAAGAAAAAAACACCAACACCAACACCAACACTTGTTCCTTATCAATACTATCATCTTCATGTCCGCCTAAATATTTTCCTGTTTCCTATTTTTCTTTTTCTTTTTCTTTTGCTTATATTTTGTTAGGTTTGTGTGTGTGTGTGTGTGTGTTTGTTTGTGTTTTTACACGCACGTGTTTGTGTGTGTTTGCTTATGTGTGTAGGTGCGTGAGCACGTGTTTGTGTATACCTATGTATACGTTTGTGTATATGTGTATACATGTGTGCGAGTGTGTGTGTGCGTGTGTGTTTGTGTGTGTGCGTGAGTGTGTGTGTGTGTGTGTGTGTGTGTGTGTGTGTGTGTTTCGTTCTGGAAGAATAACTCTTTGTAACATATAAATATCCGGCACCAAATAGAAACGTTGGGAAAGTCTTCGACAGGATACTCCTGGAGAGAATCAAGCTGGCGACAGATGAGAAGCTCCGAGGAAACCAGGCAAGATTCCGCAAGAACAGATCATGCGTGGACCAGATCACTACTCTGCGCATCGTTGTTGAGCAATCGCTTGAATAGAATTCTCCACTTGTGGTCAGCTTTACTGATTATGAAAAGGTATTTGACAGCGTGGGCAGGAAAACTGTGGGAACTCATGCGACATTATGGAATACCTGAAAAGATCGTGATGGCCACCTATGATGGAACTAACTGCCAGGTCTTCCATGAAGGACAACTCTCAGAACCATTCCAGGTACAGACAGGAGTGCGACACGGATGCAAGCTCTCACCTTTTCTCTTCATACAGGCAATTGTCTGGGATTTGAAAGAAGCCATTAGAGACAAGAGCAATGGAATACAGTGGACCCCTTGGCAGAAGCTGAACGACTTGGACTTCGCCGATGACCTTTGCTATGCCCTCTCACACACATGCTCAGGTGAAAGAAAAGACGAAGGAGCTCAACCGTCTATCAAAGAGTGTTGGCTTACGTATACAACCGGACAAGCCGATAGTAGTGAAGCGAAGAAACGTTTCAAGCATTGCTGTGACAGTAGAAGAAGTGGACTCCTTTACCCACATTGGAAGTGTCATCGATGGTAAAAGTCTTACAGAGGCATACTATGTAAAAGTAAGAACCGCCAAGGCAAGGTCATCATTTAAGCAATTATCAAAAGTCTGGAAAGCAAGCAACATCCCACTGCGCACCAAGATTCGACTCTTTAACTCAAACGTCAAGTCTGTGCTCCTCTACGGCTGTGAAACTTGGAAGACAACAAATGCATGAGAAGTATCCTAAAAATTAAGTGGCAGGATATAATAAGAAATGACGAGGTGTGGGGAAGGACAGGACAAAAGGATGTAGAAGTAGAAATAGGACTAAGAAATTGGCAATGGATGGGACACACCCTCAGAAAGCCCAGCGGAAACATCACAAGACAGTCGCTTCAGTGGAACCCACAGGGAGCAGGAGGCAGGGGTAGGCCACGGGAAACATGGAGGAGATGTATGGACAGGGACATGAGAGAATTTAAGCTCACTTGGAACGAGCTTGGAATGATGACCCGGGACAGAGATAGATGGAAAGAGCTTGTATGGGGCCTATACCCTGCCTGGGGGGAAAGGCATTGATGATGAAATAGAAATGTAGGATAAAAAAACCCCTCAACAACAACAACCACAACAACACCAACAACAACAACCCACCACCTCCACCACCACCACCACCACCACCACCACCACCACCACCATCACCACCACCAACAACAACAACAACAACAACAACAATAACAACAGCAATAATGACCTGTGATATAGAGTCCCGGGATGTCTGTCTCGGGCCTCAGTTTGCTGGCAGCCTCGGCGGTGTAGCGGGCGTTGCCCTGACAGATTCCGTACATCTCGCCCTTGGGGAAGCCCAGGTAGTAGCTGTTGGTCACCGGGGTGCCCACCTCCAGGTAGACGCACTGAAACAATCGACGTGAACAGATCGTTAGTGACCCAGACAGACAAAGTAAGTACATGTCCTTACATTAATGTACTTTTGTGATTGGAACAGACGACGTAAACGAATCGTTAGTGACTCAGACTCAGACAGCACTTCTGTGATTTCAACTGGAAACGTCAATCGTTCAAAGTAAGTAATTACTTCCGTAGTTGGAACAGACGGCATCTATCAGTCATCGGAGACTCAGACAGACAAAGTAAGTTCAGTCATAGCTCGTTGCCTCCGATGACCTTTACTGTGAACGATTTGCGTTGTTTGTTTAAATCACAGAAGAAGTACTCACAAACAGTGCCAACCGATCCTCAGTGGCTGAGATCGACAAAGTAAGTATACACATTGTCATGTGTACACCTTTAAAAACAATTATTTATAAATGAGGTTTCTCTTCACAGTAATGTGGGTTGAACTTCTTTTTTTTTCTTTTTTTTTTTGGGGGGGGGGGACAGAAATGCTCAGCGTAAATTAATGCACCTTTATTATTATTATTATTATTATTATTATTATTATTATTATTATTATTATTATTATTATTATTATTATTATTATTATTATTATTATTGTTATTATTTTTATTATTATTATCATGTTTATTATTGTTATTATTGTTGTTGTTATTGTTGTTGTTGTTGTTGTAATATTGATACTATTGTTATTATTTATTATCATTAATTGCTATCATCATCATCATCATCATCATCATCATCATCATCATCATCATCATCATCATCATCATCATCATCATCATCATCATCATCATCATCACACCTACTCATTATCTCTTGGCCTTTTTAACTCCCAGTGGAGCATAGGCTATCAACAACATTTCTCTTGCGAGGCCTGTCCTGCGCATCCTTTTCTGGCTGTTTCAATAATGTCTCCGCCTTTTCCATTCCCGCTTGTACTGCTCCCTTCCACGTCATCTTTGGTCTTCCTTTCTTACGTTTTCCTTGTGGATTCCACGTCAAAGCCTGTCTGATTATGCTTGTCGGGGGTCTCCTCAGGGTGTGTCCAATCCATTTCCATTTCTTCACCTTTATGTCTTCCTTTACCGGCCTTTGGCTTGTTCTTTCCCACAGTTGAGCATTTATGACTCGATCGTAACACTTGATCACCACAATCCTTCTTAGGGATCCCTTTATGAAACTATGCAGTTTCCTTGCTGCTGATGCTCTGAGCCTCCATGCTTCTGAACTATACAGTAGAACAGTCTTCGGCAAAGTCCAAGTCTTCCAACTGACTGAAAAGGGTCCACTGTAAGCCACCGCGTTGTCCTGATGTTGTCTGTCTCATTATCCAATCCACTGCTAATAAAAAGAGAAAAGGCGATAGCAGGCATCCCTGTCTCACTTCTGGTCACATATACTACTACTCACTTTTCCTTCCAGCTGGGGAAAGGTGTCAACAACCATCTGCCACATGCGCCGACCCATCACGTCCTTGATACTCTCATAGCGCTCTCCGCGATGACGTACTTTCTCCTCCTTCCACTCCTCAAACCACTCCCAGTTAGCCAGGGTGAGGAGAAGGACTGAAGCCTTACCTAGAAAACGTAATTAAAAGAACGATAGAAATATCACACTGCTAGAAAAACAAAATTTAAAAACGATAAAAATAATATCATGGAACACACTGCCAGAAAAAAGACATTAAAAATGATAGAAATATACTGCTTGAAAAAGGAATTAAAATTCAACAGATATAATATCATGGAGTACACTGCTAAAAAAAAAAAGACAAACAAAGTCATAGAACCCACTGCCGGAGAAAAGACACCCCCCCCCCACAGTTATCAGTTGATGTCTAATACACAACTCACAAGGACATAACACGACGTTCACCTGGGAATTTCTTTTCGTACTCGGGGTCTTTGGCAGATGGCACAGACAAGAATCCAAACGGGATGTTTGCGTCCTCTAGCTCATCCTGGTTGAGCGCCAAAAATTCTTCCATAAGAGTGTTGATGTCGACGTCCTTGTTACTGAGGAAAGCAGTATCTTTTTAAAAAGTTAGGAACAGTGTTGTTTGATTCTATTAGTTTGCACGTCTTCAGTTAAATACAGTCGAACCTGCTGTAATGGCCATCTGTATAAGACAATCACCTGTATAAACAGCCACTTCCAATTTTCCCCAAAGTTTTCTTTACATAATAATGACGCTGTGTAAGACTCCTTGACTATGGGTGGCCGTTTTAAACAAATCAAACTGTATTATTTATTGATACATTCATATAAACTAAACCCCTGCATCTTGATAACTTTAGCCCCAAAGTCAAGCGAGCGTGGTTAAAGCAGATTCTAGTTCCATACACCTGTCTATTTCAAAGCCAGGACGTCATGTTCCAAAACACATGAGTCCACTATCCTACTTGCTACTCTTTTATACATTCTCAATTCATAACTCGACACCCCACTCAGATTTGTAATACACTTTTGTAGTAAGATGACTTCCAAGTTATAATTACAAAGAAATGTTGTATCCCATCACATAGACTTACAAACTCCCACATCATTACGGGGCACCAGACTGTTGACAGACAATAGCCTAATCGATACCGGAAAAACAACACGCTATCTGAGAATTACAAAATTGTATCTGCTCAACACATAGTTTTGAGAAATTTGACGTTGAAAAAATTTTGAGTTTCACAATATGTCAAGCTTTTTTTAAAGCAATGTTTTAAAAATATTTTGATAACGACTCCGAATATTCTTACGATTCTGATAGAGTAGATAGACCATAATATGCTTTCTGTCGTCATGTTTGTAACTCGTCAGATTGAACGTTGTAATTCTGAGGTAGTGAATAGCATCTTTTGTCGAAAATAAAAGAAAAACATCTTTGTTGAGAAGAATCCAGCCCTTATCCTTTTAGAACTACATTGATCAACGGTATCGCCGGATTCTCATCGGTTTAATCAAGTTTTCGGTTTAAAGGTGCTGCTCGTCTAAAAGAAAAAAACCCGGGGACTTCAGTTTCTTTTGGTTTACCGCTGTTTTCGGATTAAATGTTTCGATTTAAACGGACTCTATTGTTTACTATGCTGTTAGGTAAAATGCTTTAAAATATCAGTCCTGATTCCTAAATTCTCGAACCAAACACAATAAGGCAACTTACCCCGTGTTATAAACCCAGTAGTTCGCCGCTGGAAGATTCAGTTCTTTGGAGGTTCCTTCGATACCCATAAAGGCTGTGATGTAGGAGCGACTGGGACCGATCTTATCGACGAGAGGATAAACATCTAAAGGAGACACACACATACACACGTAATAATAATAATGATGGGTAAACAATTGAACAATAACAACAAAACTAAACATATGTGCAGAGAGTTGTGAATGAGGGTTGTGCTCTGCCCCTCGGGGCAACATTTGGGGATCTAGAGAGGGCTCTCGTGAGCCTCAGATATGTATCCCCACTAGCTGTGACCAAAAAGGTGGAGAAAACCACAGTTGAATTAGTATACCTTCTTCTTCTCCTTCGTTGCTGTTTTGGGCATTGGGAACCATGCCTACCCCAGATAGAATATTCCAAAAGAAACATGAAGAGAAACCAGCACAAATTATGCCAAGAAACGTGAAGCTAAATTATAGAGGACAATCTGGAGTCTCCATGATAACGTCCATTCTTTATCTAAAACGGATGTGGACAACACCGAGCTTTTTTAAAAAAGGAGTAGAAGCAGCAGACCACATTAGAGCACCACACAAGACCAACAGTAAATCAATTAATTGATATCAATTAGTAAGTGAGATTATTAGTTAATTAATTAATTGGTTAAACAAATACGATTAGCTAAAACACAATAAGAAAGAACATCTTAAAAATTATCGTGGAAAAGAACACCCCACAGCCCATGTCTGATGTACCGACTTACTTGATTTCTGGGCAATTTCTCGTGGCAGCAGCGCCTTGAAGGTGTTGTCGATGCCAGCGTCCGAGATAATGTACTTGGCGTAGACGTCAACCTTGGTCTTGCCTCCGATCCTCACACCTGAGAGAACACACATGGGAGGCTACAACGCTCATCGGTTTGGTTTTTAGTAAGAGTTCTACTATTATCTTGTCTCGAATCAGAACAGCAATAGATGAGAGACTAAGAGAGGAACATACGTGTTTTCGATAGGATATATCATGTACAGATCAACTGTTTGTTCTGAAAAATGTGTAGAACAAAGCAAAGAATGGAATGTACCAATTATTTTGAACTTTGAGGACTTAAAAAAAGACATTGACAGCATAGACCGAGAGGCCCCGGGGAAAATGTGTGTAAGATCGTTATACACCAAAGCAAGCTGCTGTGTCCTAGTTAAAGGAGAACTATCTAACTATCTACACCTTTGGAAGTAAACACTGGTGTTAGACAAAGTTGTATATTATAACCTGTACTTTTTGGAATTGTGGTCGGTTTTTGTAGGGAGACAGCAAATACAATGAAACTTGCATTGGGTGGAGAAATGGCATACTTCTGGGAGATTTAGATTTGGCAGATGACATAGCTGCCTATCTCTGCCTATTAAACACCACAGTACATGAAATGCAATCAAAAACAAACAAACATGAAAAAGCTGCGAGAAAAGTTGGCCTTATAATCAATGTATCTAATAACAGAAGTACGACTCTCAGCAGAAACTACCACCATCATTCTTTATGGAAACCCCCTTGCAGGAATGAGTAAATTCGAGTACCTTGGTAGCATTATATCCATAACTGCAGACCGCCTTGACGACCTCCACCAAAGACATAGAAATACATGGTTCGCTTCAGTGAAATTAAAAACTATATGGAAGTCAAGGATAATTCCATTGAAGACGAAATTGAAAATTAATCATAGCAATATTTTGACTGCATTGACTGTTCAGAGGTATGAAAAACAAACTAAACTATCCAACGAAAATTAAAAGGCGTCCAAACAAAATGTTTACGAACATCTCTATTAATAAAATTGAATGAAATTTATTACAAGTAATGAAGTGTTGGAAAGAGCTGGAATTGAAGATATCAACACAATCTTAGAAAGGAGAAGATGGAGATAGCTGGGACATTTTCTAAGTATGCCGAAAACAAGATTGCCCTACCAGACATTATATCGGAAACCAAGAGGAAAAAGAAAACGACAAGACCAACTGGAAGCTCTTGAGGCACCTACACATAATCTACACCTGTCTTTCAGTTGTAGTTGTTTGTTTTTGTTTTTTAAAGTTTTAATAGGAGTTTAACGGCATTTGCTACATTACCAGGGCATGTAAGTGCTGAGGTTTTCAGGTGTTACTAGAAATTAAAATACGAACAGAAGAAGGAGGAGGGATAAGGACGATAGATGTTTGATATGATCGAAGGAAGGCACAAACCACACCAGAGCACCCACGAACCACCCACCCGCTAACCTCTTTTGTGCTTGTATTTTACTTCCTTGGAGGTAAAGTTCTGGTACGAGGGTTGGAAAGGGGGGAGGCGGGTGGCCCCCCCCACACACACACAAACACACAGCCAAGAAGAGACAAACCGACTCACCTACTGCTCGCCCATCTTCGTTACAGATGATGTTAGTGACAGGAGCCTGCACGAGAACTCGACCTCCGTGCTTCTGGATGACGTCACTCATGTGGTAGGCGATCTCAGAGGTGCCACCCCTGGGGTAGAAGCTGTTGGTCATGAAGTGCGTTGCCAGGAGGGCGTGCAAGATGAAGGGTGCTTCGCGCGGTAACAGGGCTGTTGGAGGGTAGAAAGGAGCGTGTTGGACACGGTGCACACTGGCAATCGAATTCAGTCGAATTAAGTCGGGGATAACCAGATTTTCCCTTGGAGACAAGTTCCTCAACTCTAGCGTCCATGTCGCTGTGAGGTGTGCATCCACAAGGTTCCTGCCTCAGGGCTCTTTTCTTCTGTCAGAAGTTACCATCCTCACACAATTACACCGAATTCGACTAACTTCGACTATGACTTTCAAACGAAAAAACGGGATTATTCTCAAGGTCGCTAGTCGAACGATCGAAAGTGTACAGCGTGCGCTCGGAATGCGGTAATGGACAGTGCAGATTTAAAGAAGTTGATACAGAGAAATAAGAAAACTATCAACATTTTGCCAAGTCTGTACGATTTTCAATTTTTTTTAAAAACTTCTCTGCACAGAAATTACGGTATGCGGCAGTCAGCTCTAATTGAAGCAGTTACAACTGAAGGAATTAATGGCTGTGTTGGGAAAGGTAAGTAATGTGTTCCATAACACTGTGCACGGGACCAAGTTTCCTATTCTTGTCAAATTTGACACAAGGAGAGTGTACAGTGTGTACGGCGAATGCGGTAACGGCAGTGTACGTTTGGATAGGCAGATGCTGATACATGTAGATGCACTGAACACGCCATTAATAGACCCGACCTTGACCCAATTCGATCTACAACGGGCATCCAGTATTATTTGATTTGACTTGAGGACAACCACCTCTCGGCGCAAGGGGAGGGAACAGTGCGATACCTCAAAATTACAAAGTTCTATCTGACATTTTGGACATGTTCAATTACTGTCACCTTAAGGTCAAAAAGCAAATGCTCTATGTACTCTATCAAAATCGTTACAAAACATTCGGAGTCGTTATCAAGATATTTTAAAATAAAATTGCGTTCGCTAAAACTTGGCATAGCCTTTTGTGAAACTCAATTTTTGTTACGTTAAATTTCTCAAAACTAGGTATTGTGCCGATAAAACTTAGTAATTCTGAGAAAACGAGTGGAAGTAAATCCTATTAGAGTTGAGGAGGGAAGTCATGAGATGGGGGAACAATAAGCGACGGTGTCACACTCAATTAGAATAACAATACAGTCGAATTTGTCCGAGCCGGCTCTTCATTAAAGAAGGAAGATGGTAGATTTGGAGGAGCTGGCGTCCGATTATTAAAAAGCGATGGGAGAATCAGGAAGTTTTTCAAACGCTTCTTTAGCCTGTGTCATTGCTTTAATAATGTTTTGTTTATTTATTTCTTATTTTTTAAATTTATTTATCCTTTTTGGTGAGTGTTTTACAAAGCTCGCAACTGCATAGGGCCATGTGCCCACGCAGGACGCATTACACATTTTCCGTTGGTAGGAAATCTTGAATTTTGCCCGGGAGGCGGCCAAAGGCTATTCTTATCGATCTTGGACCACCAATGGATCTTTAACGTGCGCAACCTGCACACGGGACCACCTAGAGTTTTCGCCCTTGTCCGAGAGGGCTTGGTGTAGATCTTTCCTACCAGAAGATAAGGGGTGTGGCAGAAAGACAGAAGTAAGAAGGATCCAAAGAGTAGCAGTAAAAAGGCTGCAGAAAGTGTCAGGAGCCCAGAGGAGGGGTAAAGGAGATGAGGGAATCGGGACAGATAGTGGAGACAAAAGCAGACGACAGAACATTATTAGAGAGCTGGAAAGGGGGTGAAAGGAGAACATTTTAGAGAAGAAAATTTTCATTTGCTATCCGGATTCGAACCCAGGACCTATTAAATGAGAGGCGAACACCTTAACCTCATAAAGAATACAACAGTCGTGAAATCTTATATCCTCAAGGTCCTTGACAGAAGACAACACCCTCACACAACACACACTGTCGTCATATCCTTATTATATTCTATTTTTGCTCCTTAATTCAACTGCACAGCTTGTTTTCTCTTTGCTGCTCAAAAGAAACAGAAGAGAGAGAGAGAGAGAGAGAGAGAGAGAGAGAGAGAGAGAGAGAGAGTGACTGTGAATGGAGATAGAGAGGGAAAGAGAGAGAGAGAGAAGGGGGGGACAGACAGACAGACAAGGAAAGAGACAGAGACAGAGACAGGGCCACTGACTGTAGATTCTTTAGGCCATTCCCAAGGGGGGGACATTTCTCGTTCAAGCACAGTAGAATTGTAAATGGGCTTATTCGTCATGTCATGTTCATAACTGTGCCTGATCTGCAACACGGAACTGCGGCTTTTTCTTTCCTAATCCTTACTATTGCCATTTTCCTCTACTTCCTTTGTATGTTTGTCACACTCTTGTGACCCGCTATTTCCGGGGTGCCTATTGATAGTCGAACCAAACCCTGTGCTGTTGAAGCAAGAGAGGTGAGCAGAGTAAGTCTGATTCCCTGTAAGGACTTCTCTGTTGATACCCACCCATTGGCGCTCATATGACCTTATGCAGTTGCGAGCTCTGTAAAACCCTCTACTAAAAAAACAAAAAGGCAGAGAGAGGAAAAGACAGAGACAAAAGCAGAGACAGAGACAAAGACAGAAACAGAGACAGAGACAGACAGAGACAGACAGACAGACAAAAGACAGAGAGAACTCCGTCAAGTCGCGTCAGCCACTTACCGTAATCTGCAAAGAAGTAACATAAAACCACTTTGAGTTCAGCGTTGTTGGTCACCGAGTCCACCACCTGCTGCAGAGTCATGGTGGTGTAGCCTTTACGCCAGCAGGTGAACACCAGCTTGTACAGTCCGCTTGTGATCAGGAAGCGAACCACCAGCTTCGGCAGAAACTTGAGCAACACAACACCTATGAAAGAGTCGGTGGCTTCCTGCAGGGTACACAGAAAAAACCCAAGCATTATAATATAGATCCTCTCTCTCTCTCTCTCTCTCTCTCTCTCTCTCTCTCTCTCTCTCTCTCTCTCTCTCTCTCTCTCTCTCTCTCTCTCTCCATCTATCTTTCAATTTAAGGTCCCTTTTCTCTATATAAGAATATGCAGTTAAAAACTCGTGCCGTTGGTGCATGTCTGAATACTGAATTTATTAATAAATTTGTATTTTCTTCGAAAGTGAATGCGTTGACCTCGGGGTGTAGCCTAACATCGTCATGTGTTAGGCTAAGGCAAAGTTGAAAATTTTTCCAGATATACTTCTATCTACTTTTATCTTTGTTTTTTTTTCACTTAAAAGAATCTCTATTTGTTGG